GTCCGCTTCCACTGGTTGAGTCTACTGAGCGTGCATTCCTGCAGAGGAAATTTTCATTGATAGAATATTGACACGTCAATCAACATTTGATTCCTTCTTGGTAAGATTTATTGCGAAAGCACGTTACAACCGCCGACCGCATCTCCCTATATCAGACAACAATTTATACCCAGCCTGACATTCTCGCATACATCCGTTTGTTGGGCCACGCTACTTGAGCTAGCTGAGTACAGCTGGCAGCGGCGCGAGCAAGGCCACGAGGGGAACGTGATGGTGCTCGAGCCATCCCACTGTGAACCAATGTTTCGGCCACCCCACGGATGCGTGTCGCCATCTATTGGTTGAACTAACGCCTTGTTCAAGATGGCTGCCGTGGGACCGCAGCCCTCGCGCTGAACGCGAGACAGCAAGGCCTTTCCTGTCGCTCTTACCGCTCATTCACACTGGCAGCGGATCCGCGTTCGCAAAGCGGTTGCGAACGCGGTTGTATAAAGATCCAGTACAATTGCACGCGCATTTGATGTCATCGAGTGCGCGTGCAATTGTACTGTATCTTTATGCAACCGCGTTTGCAACCGTTTTGCGAACGCGGACCCGCTCCCAGTGTGAATGAGTGGTAACCCTCTCGGTGACTATCAGCTAAGCACTAAAATATTCAGGTCAATGCCAGGTTCCAGTAAAATGCTCCAGAGGTGCCAATGTCGTGTTCGCTCGGAGTGTGTCCCGCAGTGTATACAATAACGTACAATCGAGGAAAGAGCCAACGAAGCCACAAGAACGGGCGACCTAAGACTATACGCGAGCGCGCCATGCCGGCGGTCAGAGAGAAACAACTCCCAAGTTCCAACGAGCCCCGGCCAGTGGCTTGATTAGTGACTATCAACGTCCAGTTCTCCGCGAACCTGCAATTCTTGACAAGGGGCAGGTTGCAGTTAATAACAGTCATCCGCTTCACAAGAGCCAATCTCTGCGATCTATGAAATCATTAGCGAATGATGAGGCGGTACATATGTTTAGACCTCAAAATAAAGTCTGCGCTGTGGCATTACGCAATGCAAGCCTGACGCTTTGCATTGCGTTATGGCACAGCGCAGACTTCATTTTTAGGTCTAAACGGATGTTCCGCCTCATCATTTGCTGAACTGATTTTCTAGGTCGCAGAGATTGGCTGTTTGAGTGTTTTGCGGGTAAGTAGAGGCGCAGGCATTCCTTAGTGTGTTCGGGCAGACTATGTCATTTTTTATCTTCGTTATTTTTGTCTCCAAAAGATACGGGATCAACTTCTTTAATGGAAATCGTCGCAATTAGCTTAAACTAAATTGTTCGAACGACTACCCAGGTAGCACACCAGAGAAAAGCGCAACTAGGGCGAAAGTGTAGCAAACGTAAGGGCCAAACTTGCGCCCACACACTCTAAAAAAAGTCTGCGCGTCTACTTTCACGCACAACACTCGGAGTGCCAGTCACCACAACTTACGGAGGCAGCTCAGCGAATGATGATGCTGAAACATATGTTTAGACCAAAAAAACGCAGTCTGAGTTGTGACATTAAGCAGTGCCAAACGTCACGCTTGCATTGCCTAATGTCACAACTCAGAGTGCGTTTTTTGGTCTAAACATATGTTTCGGCATCGTCATTCGCTGAGCTGTGTCCGTAAGTTGCGGTGATTGGCTCCCCGAGTGTTGTGTGGGGAAAAAAGACGCACGAGCTTTTTTTAGAGTGCAGTTTGGTTTTGAATTCATGACGCTTGTCAGTGCCAAACTACGTTGCCTAACTATAGCCCTAGTTGGGCTATACTAAAGCACTCCAAAGTTTCGCTTTTGTCTGGTCCGCTACAGGAGTGCCAAAATAAGTATCATACCTTAGCCATAAATGCCAAAGCAACGACTAATTTGGTTATTTTGGACATGCCAAAGCTTGGCTTTAAGTGCCAGACATGGGTCATAACTGCCGAAGTTAACCCTAATTTGGGGATTCGGGACATATCAATTGTTGCAGCCGAGATTTCCAGATGACGCTAGTTTTTCAAGCGTGTGCGCTCAGCTAGCAGAGTGTATAAGTCGACGTATAAAGCGCCGCCCGAGACGACTGATTGTCAATAATAGCGGCACAACCATGTCAAGAATGGCAAGATCGGATATCCGAATGTTAATATGCGTGACACCTCCGTTTCCCCAAAAAAGCATCCATTATGTGAGTTGTCCATAATAACGGGACGAAGTGCATGTATTTCCCCTGTCTGCCCACGAAAAGAGTGTCCATATACCGTTTATTTATCTATTTTTTTTTTAATTAACCGAGTTCCTAATGTCGCAACCGACCGGCGCTTCCTCTCGAAGCTGGCATGGTGCTTCCACGCACTCTTAATTAAGCTGCTCGCTAGCTGATGTGGTTTCGTCGACTTTTCCCAGAACTGCTCACTAGTTTTAATTTTTAACCCAGAATAAAACCTACAAAGAAAAAAAAATAATAGGAAGCAATACTTTTCGGAGTTCACTGTGCAGAAGTATATTCGGAGTCGACTATTCTCTGCAACGTTGTCGAGGCTAGCGTAGCTTCTACAAGAACCAACTCCTATCGAAGGTAGTTGAGCGAGTGGGTGCGAATAAGACGGAAGTCGGAGACACGTGCTTTCGCAACAATGTGCGGTCGCATCACTGTGGAAGCTCCGCTGGGGACGTCAGAACGCCGATCTCTGACTGACAGGAATGCGTTCGAGCAGTGAGTGGAGATAAAGGCAGCTAGCCTCCGACGAATATTGGGTGAAAACCGAATTGCTTTTAATATTCAAAATGGTGCTACATTGTAGAGAACAGAAAATTAGTAGTTCCTTCGTGAAACTACAAATTACAAGTGTGTGCCGCTAAGGGTCTTGATGAGTTAAATAGGCCGTTTGGCGGGCCTCTCGTAAATACTGGGGAAAAGAGTATAAAACACGTCATCGTAATGAATACAATAAAATATTTGTATTTATTGCGAGGCTTGAGCGGTTAAACTTTAGGCGTAGCATTTAATTTGGAATGTGAGTAAACATTTTAGAACATAATTTAATTATGTGAGAAATGTAAGTGTGTTATCTTTTTAAAAAATGCCTATTCGGAAAAATAAAAATAAAAAAACAGTTGGCCGTATCCTAATTTAGGTGCAAGGAAGAAAAGTGAAAGTGTTAAATAGTTACGCAAGTCTGTAATAATGTTTCTCGGCGTAAGCGGGAATGTGACTATACTCGGGGACAACTTTTCTTGTCATTTCCGGGCAGAGGAGGAGAGCCCGCGCACAGCTTAATTCAGCGCTCAAAATGGGAGAGGGAGCGCGTGCCTGTACCCTCCACTGCATTGCCAAGAAACGTTGTCGCCGAGCATAGTAGTCGTTTTCCAGAAAACAAATTGTGCCAGAAATTAGAAACAAAAGGGAATGCAACAAATCATGCCATGTACTCAACGTCATTGTTATGCGAGGTGATTATAAATACATACTCGTATCAAATGCCCCAAAAAGTGCGTAGGTTCAGTAACTTACTGTCAGGAAAAATATTTTGTGAGGAATGTACCATACGTTGAACTTTGATAGGTATGTCAACACAAAAAAAAATAAGTAACTCTTTACTTCCAAAACACTCGCAAGTTAAATGGTTTTCTACAATTCAGCAAGTTTAATTCAGCACAAAAGAATAAACAGAACATTACAAGAAAGTTTTATTCGTTCGCATACTAGTTGTATTTTTGTTGTTGTTCTTACATCTCTGTCCGGCAGCTTACCCCCTTCCACACAAGCACTTGACCATCCGCAATATCACCGGCGAAATGTATACCGTCCCAGTCCCGGAGCGCCTAGTAAACACAATTTAGGTTGGTTACTTTTCAACCCCCCCCCCCCCCCCATTCCACTTTCCCGCCTCCACAAAAAAGAAAGAGCAGAAGTGACTTACGAGTAGCTCATTTTTGTATTACTGAAGTAGAAAAAACGAAAAGGACACGTATAGTTGACACTGTGATTGCTGGTCGGCTACTTCGCGAAAATATAAATAAATTGAAAGCACAAAAAAAAGAACAGGGCTACAAGCTCGGACTGCACCAAAATATAGAATCAAATTCACCCGCACGTACATACTCAGACGAGTTATTTACATCTGTCACCTAAAAAAAAGAACAAGTGGGATTATGTTGTATTCTGACTCTCCTGGTTGTTCTCCCATGGACCGAGAATGTCATTCCCTTTCAACACAGATCTTTCTTTTCATTCTTTTTTTTTTCGATAGTTTTTCTAATGCGTCGCGTCCTTTTCTAATGTTTCGCGTAAGTTGTGCAAACAGATAATAGGTGATAGATAAGAGTAGCTTAAAAAGTTAGTTTGAGCTACTTCCAACAAGTATTTAGGTTAGAATGCTAACTACGGACTTCTGAAAGTATTCGTAACATACCAAGCTACTAACAAAAGTATTTAAGATTGGATTACCCCCAGACGGTATATAAGTTGCGTTTAAATCTTCTTAAATAGCAGTAAAACAATTCCGACAAGTTTTCGAGTACAACCGATTGCTCTCTCGGGGTCATAAGGCCGTAAATATTGGGCCGCCAGAACTACGTCAAGGTAAAAAATACTCCTCGCTATTTTTCTCTTTCCTATTCTGACGCATACCATATGGTGTGTCTGCAGTGAATTTTTGTGCTGTAATATGACCCAGAAAAATCGGCGCCTGCAGATAGAGAGCTCAAACTTTAAACCTTAAAACTTCACTAGGTAAAACGCACCACCCAGGTGCACATTCGATAAAAGCTCGCGCTTTCTACGTGCCAGCGTCGATTCTTCCTGCTTGTCTTACGGCGCTATGATCTCTTGTAGACAACCTATAGTTTTCAGTAACATAAACTGAATTTATTCCGGCGCTCTTTTTTTTTTACGGGGCGGGGGGAGGGGGGGTGGGCGTGTTGAGCAGGCAAATACTGCCGTCTCTGGTCATAACAAAGGTGCATGATACCAAAACGATTCGTGCTCTCACCGCATGGGGGCATCGTTGATCAAGATCACATGCTTCAAAGACGGCAGTCTGAAAATTATATTTGTAAAAAGACAAGGGATGCCATTAATAAGGCACACAGGGTCTGTCCTATGCGAGGATATCAGATGCCTCTCGTCACCTGGTGCTCTTCAGCTCTCCCGGAAAAGCTCCTCGCTCTACCTCGGGCGCCATTTGAAGCAACATCTTGTAGTAGTCTTGTCGGGAACACTTGCCCGCCACGATGAGAGCTGCACACTCTGCCTGTAAACGACATAAATATTGATATATCAACTCTTATTTCACACCGTTATGCGGAAAGTTATGTGATCTAACTAAATCGATCCCAAAAATGCCACGGCGTAGTTTTGAAGAGACAAGGAAATCGATGGGGTACAGCAAACAGCTCTAAAGACGTTTCCACTGTTCACAAAAATTACAGTCCAGCCAGCGCTAAGCCCTTTCCGAAATTCAGTCTGGCTACCTCTGTAACTATCATCACCTAAGCGTATTTTTATCTGCATACGCTAATGGCAGTCTTTTGATGGCTGACGAAGGAAGAATTTGAAGACGGGCACCGACGCGGAGCCTGGACTTTCCAGACGTTAATCCACTGAAGTGTTTGATGTCGGCGTGACGAAACATTAGCTTTCGTGCGCTACGCACTTGAGAGTGCCATGGAAATCCTTGCAATCTTCGGCTTCGCCATGATTATCAAGAGGTTTACTCAAGTAAACGCCTCGTACAAAGTGATAGTTTCTTGACACCATTAAAACTGAAATGAATAGAGAAAAAATCGGTGCAGCGAAGAACACCTTAACCTAAAAACGCAATACAAAGCATCATGCTTGCATTGCGTAATGACACAGCGCAGACATTATTTTGATGTCTAAGCAGATGTTCCGCCTCATCATTCGCTGAGCTGATTTCGTGGATCGCAGAGATTGGCTCTTCGAGTGTTTTGCGGTTATGTAAACGCGCAGGCATTTTTAAGAGAGTAGACTTGTGTTTCTAGGCCGCCGGCAGAAAAGTCAAGAAAACTAATCCTAAAACAAATTAACACATTTCAAAATTACATCTGGTGGTGGTCTGCCCCGGAATGCTGCTACGTCATGAGCTCCTTAGAAACAGCGCTTGTTCTAGGCAGTATGGCTCGCTGGTGGAGTTATATACTCCTAAATGTGGCTTGGCGGAGAACGCTAACGCGTTTACTACGTTGTATATGTTAAAGCTTCCACAGAGCTTCCGCAACCTGCATTCCACACCATCAAGATCAATGGCGCTACTTTTCCCATCAAGATGGGGAAAATGGCGCCATTCATTGTTTCGGAAATGCTCGAGACACGCGCCACGCGCGACTTCCGGGAAGAACATGGCGTCTAAAATCTCGCTCCGTGCTTCGCAGTGCCGCCATGATCCTCCCGAGGGCTGCACGTCGCACGCATCTCTTGCATCTACGCACCTTGCGCTACTTTTAACATATGAAGGGGCTTTAGCGATTGTTACACGTTGACGCCACCATGCGGTAACGCTTGCAACTACAGTGCCCTTGGCAGTGCAGGAACTATTGACGTCATCAGCGCGATACGCTATGCGCTTCTCACTTGCCGACTTCAAAGCGAGAAGTAGAGAGCTCGCGGTCACGTCATTTCGTTTGCGTACCCCTTTAAGACTGATACTTGTGCCGCTAGATAGCACTGAATTTTTTTAAAGGGTTTATTGTGGCCAGCCATAAAGTGCGCGTGCACAACACCTAAACACGGAAATGAATGTGACCTCATACGCTTTTATGAAAAGGTGTAGTAACTCCGCCTCCAGCGCGCGCTCGTAGCCTTCCACTGGGCTTTTGCTGCGCGTTCGACGACGTTTATTAAAGGCAGAAACCTCGAGCTGAAGGCGAAGCATCTATTGACTTCTTAACTAAGATGTTTTAGGCTTCAAAGCGCTTCGTGAAAAAAGTGATGTTATAGAACTCCCATACAATCCAATAATAGCGAGGACGCTTTTCTTCAACAATGCACGTGGAATTTTGATTAAGTAGAAACGTTCTAGAACGCTAACAATATTTCTGATCTAGCATTCGCATTTGCTTCCGAAATCTGTGAATTCAACGACACCTAGTGAAATGGCAAAAAGCTGACGTGGCATATTCGCTCGATTCAACGAGTCTTCTAGTTCCGATAAATTCACTTGGTGTTTCAGCGCAACTTGTAACTGAAACAAAAAATCCTGGAGACAAACTTTAAACAAAAAAGGGGGGGGGGGGGGCAACTTCTAAGAACTTACGTGGTTAAGGCAAAACTCGAGTTCGGGAACCTGGTATGCCGTGTTAACGTTTACCTAAATGTAAAAAAAAAAAAAAAGAGTTTATGTGTTTTGCAGAATAGTTACCAATGGCAATCAATGTCAAAATACCGATGGCAATCAATGTCTAAACCAAGCACCACTCACCAGAACCAGTCCGGCCTTGGCCGCAGCGAACTGCACCACCACCCACTCGTAAAGGTTCGGCGCGAGCATCCCTATCTTGGAGCCAACCGCAAGCTTGAGGGAGACCAGACCAGCAGCGAACTGATTAACCTACGTCAAACATGAACCACGCAAATATTTAGGGACTGAGACACCACGACGATCACCTTTATCCTGCCTAAGGTTGTGTTCTTTTTAAAACTGTAATTAGCCATATTTTAAACTAACACGTCGTCCTATTGTAAAAGACTCTATGCCTCTAGTAGCCAGTTGAACGGCGTACAATAACGTCAGTTGAGAGCGTTGCTCTGAACATCTCCGCTTGCGGTCGAAGAGGTCACCGCTCAACATTCTTTAAAATGACGTGGGAACCGCGTGAAAAAAAAGAGTATTGGTGTAAGCCCTGCGACTAAATGCCGGTCTAAACTAAACAGGACTGCGGGTTGCGGGTCTCGGAAACCGCAGTCTTAAAGGACGGTCCAAACCAGCCCGCAAGACGTCGGCCAAAATAATACGAAGAACGGAATCCGTTTTTTACAACGGAGCTGTTAAGGGCTAGTTTCCCCAGTTTTGTGTCCGTGGACAAAAAAAAAAATGTCGACACAAAACTCTGGGCAGCAAGTCTGGTTGCCACCGTCGCTTATAGATGGCGGCAACTTTTCGAGCCTTCCACTCTGGTTTTCATCAGAGTGGAAAGGCTGAATTTCTCTAAGCGCTGTCCCAGAAGTTGTCCTCGAGGTCGTCCTAGAAGCAGTCCTTGAGGTCGTCCTAGACGTCGTCCCTGAGGTCGTTCTACGCGCCGTTCTTGAGGTCGTCCTAGACGACGTCGTCCATGAGGTCGTCGCAGGCGTCGTTCTTGAGGTCATCCTAGAAGTCGTCCTTGAGGTCGTTTTAGACGTCGTCGTCCTCTAGGCGTCGTCCTCTAAGCGTCGTCCTTGAGGTCATCCCACCATATTACAGCTTCTCTGGTCTTCCTTCTCCACTAGAGTGGAAAGGCTGAAAGTGTTTGTGTGTGTAATTTTATGAGTTTAGCAGGCCGGGAAGGCCCGTGAATGTGTGCGGAATTGTCTGGATCAGGGGTGGCCGGACAGACATATCGATAGAACCATTAAAAAAGTATATTAAAGACCGACGACCAGTTCGCGCTTTCCACTTTTCCCCCGCTTCCTCCTCTCCCCCTTCTACCCTGTCCGCCGTTGCCTGTTTCCTTCTTCTCTAGGGTGAGGAGGATATTCTGCCTTGCAGAATCGCGTGTCTGGTCGTCGGCTTTCAAACAAAGAGCCGCAAAAAAGGGGCCTCATATTTCAAAACAAGTTTTCTTCTTTGTGCGCTTGTTATTTTTCGGAAGTCCTGCAAAAGGAGAAAGGGAATATTAAAGGCCGACGTACAACCTCGGTTTTCTGCAGAGAAGATAATTCTCTTAGCGCTTCCCTCTCCTAAGCTCCGAGGGGAGCCAAGTTGGGGCAAGGCAAAAAGTGCAGGGCATAAAAGAAAAGAGGAGGCGAGCAAAAGTGGAAAGCGCGAAGTGTAGTTGTTTCTGTTGTATTCTCGCCCTCCAATCAACTAAAAAATCAAACAAAGGGCGCCTTTTCTCCCTCTCCCGCTCGTGATGTGCGTTTTTTCCTTTCCCGCTCAACTTTGTCGTCCGCAATCCGGCCCGTCGGCTGTGCCGTCCAAACACTCCCGCGTTTGAAAGCCCGTTGCAGATCCTTCGAAAGTTGAAATATATTTAACACCAAATGCGGGTATCGGAAGCCACAAAGTGTCACCAGTGGCGTCACACGAGTCGCACTAAGTTTACGGTTTTCAGAGCCCGCAAGCCGCGATTAGGGTGTACTACCGCAATCTTGTTTGGTTTGGATCACTCTTAATGCTCCTCCCCCTTGGCCAATGTCGTATCTTGAATCCTGATCGAAAGAAGGCCGCTGAGCTCCGTCCAACCGGTTTTCCCCTTCCCTCTTCTTGGCGCTATGGAGAGAAAGAATATGATACTGGCGATCGCACGTTTTATCATTAAAATATCGAACACTTAAGTTTTTTTTGTTTTCTTTTGCGTAATTGCTGTTTTATTAACAAAACTGCAATGGCTCGAGTTTTTTTGTCTCCGTGAATTTACGCAATGATTGCAAAGCCGCTAATGAAGACGTGTACTAACGTCATCTCTGAGTTGCGTATATGTCTTTGTGATGTTCTGGTGGCGGGACACGACAGCGGCGTTGTCTCCTTTGATGTCGGCCGTCCTGTCCACCACCTGCCCCAGGGTCCATGGCAGAAGAGGCTCTCGTCCGGGATTGTGGAAATAGCTGAGGCTTGCTAGGGTCCTTAATTGGGGAAACAAAATATGCGTCAATCAGACAATCGTGCTCGGTCATGTGAGTGCAGTCAGACAGTGCAGTTCTTTCTACGCCAAATGAATCGAAGAGATGCCAAGACGATGGCTGAGGTTCCTGGAGGTGTACGAGGAGTACTTTTAAACACTAAAATAGTTTCGTGCTTGTCGACTTTTTTTTTTTTCATTGTCTCGGTAGGAAAAAAAAGTTTCGGCCAACTTTAAACTACTCTTGTATAACGCACTGAAAAATATGAGCTATCTGCAACAAGTCTTTATTTCAAACTGTTTTTGTTCAGACTCCACCCATTGAAAAGGCCAGCTGGAGAGCCTGATCTCGCCACACCGATGTCTCTTTTCGAGCAATAAAGACCGTCCGATATGGTCACCGTCATCGAGGATCTTGAATAATTCTCGCCTCTAGCAAAACTTTTTTTTGTATATATAACTTAGACATACATTACATTACATCACTTTATTACCTTAAAGACCACCGTGTAGGGCGTATTAAATAAGGAATGAGGTGTACAAAATAAACATTTGATATAGTGCAACATGAATTCACTGCGATAAATGAATGGTGATATTTTCTATGGAACTCAATAGGCAGGTGATGGCAGTAATGTTGAAGGAAAGGTCGTTCCGGTCTTTGACTGCTAGGAAAAAAGTGAGGGAGAGAAGGGGACGGTGCGCGACTGTGGGCAGGCGACCTGGAGCAGATGACCGGTGCGGTGGGACTTGCGTGCTGGGGGTACGATGTAAGGTACGATACTAAGCGTAGAGTAGAAGAACTTGTGAAATAGAGAGAGGCTAGAAGGGGGGGGGGGGGCGGCGACGACAAGAAAGAGATAGCAAACATGATTCAGCTTTTGGAGACGATAGACTGACATCGTACGAGTTTGAAGCATGAATGAATCTAATGGCACAATTTGGAAGTGCTTCGAGTGCGTTGATAAGATATACTTGGTGTGGATTCCAGATTGCGGAGGCGTATTCAAGTTTGGGTCTCGTAAGCGGTTTATAGGGAAGTAATTTCACGTGTTGCTGTGCATGACGTAGGTGACTTCGCCCTAGACTATAGTGACTGTAACAGCGAAAGCGTGTCGACCAGTCAGAACTAAGATTTTGGGTGATCCAGTTAAGCGTTAATTCCTATTAATTTATTTCTTACTGCTTGTCTTAAGAAAAGTGTATCCCAAATTCTTTGCAGCAATTGTGTTCCTACGTGAAACGTTCTTGGTTAGGCGCTAGTGCGCTAAACCACTAGCGCTAAGTCAAGAGTTTAGTGGAGCTACTGCTAGTTAGACTTAGGGTAAGAGTTAGTGCGATTAAATGAGAGTTACAGTTAGTTAAGAGTTAAAGTTAGAGTTAGTGGTGCTAACCTCCCTACCATTAACTCGCGGTTAAGCTTTTTGTGGCTTTACTTAATCTGGAAAAAAAATAGCCTAACAGCGTTTCGCGTTAAAACTATTCGTTCGTCGTCGCCACTGTTGCTCACGAATTACAAGGTTACAATCGTGCTTACCGGTTGGAGCTCCTAATCACCTGCGGTGTACATTTTAGCTTGCGCAGAGCGCAGTAGAACACGGGTTGGCTAACCCCCGGCATAGAGCTTTTCTGACGAGGAAACAGACCGACTTCACCTACACGCACAATACCGAAATGGGAACCCGGCAAGCGCCTACAGTGCTCCGGTCTCGTACTGCCTGACGCATGTTAAAGACCCCAGGCTAACAGTCGTACTGCTCTTGCTAAATTCCTCGTCTCATAAACAAATAAACAATTTTTCATGAACAAGTAATAAATCATTTTTAAAAAAGGTTAAAATCTTGAACAAAACGATGTCATTAAAAACACAAAAACGTTTTGTTCGCGCTTTTTATTGAGTATGGACCAACTCGCCCAAACCCAAGTTTTAATGCGACTAATTATTCCAGGTCTGGAGCATCAGCGGCGCAAGTGCGCGGGAATTACGGCTATTTGTTGTTACCACAATCTGTCGGACAGATTGACAGGAAAGAAGAGAAAAACAAACGGCAGGGTCACAATATAAAGCACATAAACACAAAAAACAGGAATGTTTTGCGCTGTTTTGAAGTGTGTACAATTAAGTGCCCGGTGAATAATCCGCAAGAGCGAGTTTCGCCGGAATAAAACTATTTTTCCTCAGATAATCCGTACCCGGTGCATTAGATCACACGTGAAATATTCTCATAGACAGCTCGCTTTGAAAAAATGTCTGCTTTACCAGCGCACAAAGCTTGTTGTCTAAAAATCATCCTTAACACAATCTATCGTTCTCAAAATTCGCCATGTGTCGTCCTAATGAACGATATTGAAAAACCAAACCCTTCAAGAGTTCGCATCGTGTAAAATTTAAAGTTCTAGAGTTGTGTATTCCCCGGATTACAGTGCGAAAGGCACGGCATATTGCGCTACATTCCTCCCCTTACCACAATCTCTTTGAAGCGTTATTAAAAAACAAAACGAAAGAAGTATTTTTCCTCCAAGTCCGCACCGGCCACAATTACATTAAAATTATATTACTTTGTACTGTAACTGCGTAAGCGTTTGATGGTTTTTCTTGCGTAGTGATAACACGAGTACTTTAATTGATGTTTGAGGTGACATTTAATTTGTGTAGCCGTTACTATTATTGTTTCCTCTTGTTTTCTTTTCCTTTTTTTTTTTTTGTAACGCAAGTGTTAGGTTTGCTACATCAAATTCTTGGCTCAAAAATAAAATCGCACTATCTCGTTCACAAGGATATCAGAAAAATATCGGAAAAAAAATTAAAGCACCGGATAACAACCTTGTGTGTGTAACAGTCAGGAAACGTAAACTGCCCACCAAGGTCTTGAAAACAAAAACAAAAAAAGAAACAAGCAAATTACCCGCATGTCCCAGGCGTGACTTTTTTGTCACAACCAAAGCTCGAATCTAAGGCGGTCAGTTGATAGGTGGCCCTGATCCAAGACTGAATAATAACATTAAAGCAAGGATTGATTCAGTGAGTGATAAATATTTTGGTTGTTCGTCCCAGGTAATATCGGCCACCACACAATAAAGGAAGAAGGTTTTTGACTTGTTGCTTGTTTTACTTCTCAGTCGACGACCAAAGCCGACTTGGTGTCTCATTGTTGTTGTTGTTGTTGTTGTTGTTGCTATTTGCATGTGTGTCTGTGTGTGCGGGGGAGAGGTGGGGGGGGGGGGGGGGCGTGGTAACGTATTCAAACATTCGCAGATTCCTTTTTTGAGCTCTGAGAACCTACATGATATGTTGAGGCCACTATTTTTTTTTTTTACAATAATTTTATTGTTCCTTTAAGCTCTGAAACTTCAGCGTCGTATTCATTTTGAACCACCAGAGCTACATTTTCAATGTGCGACAGTACGCTTTCTTTTTTTTCTTTTTTTTTTTTTTTTGTGAGAATAACGTGGACTTTTCTTCACGGCAGACGTCCGCCGGTAGCAAAGGCATTGTGCATCGAATTAGGCAGATGACTGGATCTTTCCGAAAAGAGTTTGAGCACACCCCATGCGTGCCTTCAAGGTCAGCCATAATATATTCTGGTCAAATTGCGGTGGCCTCGCAATCGTTAAATGTAATGCATTCTGTTGGGTGCCCCTTTGAGAGGATCGAGCAGCGAACTGAACTGAAGGAATAAGGGTTTGCGGTTGCGTCCATATTGCGTACATGTGTCATCGAAACGCAAAACAAAACACGCCTAAAAAAATGCAAGAAGTTTTCGCTGTCCACGTAAACAGTTGCTGAATATTTCATTAGCAAGAGTGTTGTCAATACTCCTCCGTTGCCCAGATCGGAACGGCTGATTATTCCCCTGATTTGTTTTCAGATAGCAATACGCGTAACGACGTTTTCTCTCCTTCTCTCTCTTTCTCAAAGAAGTTCGTTAAAAAGGACACGACAGTCCGCATGAAAGCTATATTTCATGAATATTAGAATACCTCATCGATATTATTGGAAAGGAGGTGATGTTTTTATTTTTTATGGCGTCCTGGACTACACGTACCAGCTTCAGAAACGGAACCGAGGGCGGACGATCGATTTGTCCGTCGATATAGACCACTCCAATAATTGCCCTCTGCGCGCCGCCATTTTCGTCGGCTCGGCTGCGAACGCGTCCTAAGCATGCGCAGTGGCGCTCTCTTTGACGAAATGCGAGACGCCGCGCCGCGCATGCTTTCACGGGCCAGTGGCTTGGCGTTTTCCGTCAGGGTAATAGGCGCTTATAAAGGTTTACACGTGGCTCTAATACAGGAATTCGGAACAATGCCCTCTTTACCTTTCACGTTTGCGGCGCGTATACTTTGCCAACACCAGCTAGCATTAAAAGTTCCCCGTGGAGGTTTCTGAGATTGAATAATTATCGCGATGACTCACTCTGCGGGCTCAAGATATCCTAGAAATCCGTAAATCACAACGATGCGCAGCTGATTCCAGTATTAAGAAAGCAATCAAAGATTGAGCACACCGTTGTCATCTCTGGCGATGGGAGGCGGATTGTTTCGGCAATAAAAGATGACATATGACCATTGAATCGTAGTCCTGCGTTAAATCGTAGTCCGGACTGTATGGGCAAGCGGCCGATGTATGGGCAACAAGCCGCGTGCATTCGATATATCACTCCGCGGTTCAACCGGTCGGAGTCGGAGGATCCTTCGCTCGCTACTGGCTGACAGTGCTCCTGGTTTCAAAACATGCTCCTCCCATCGCCGGAGTTGACCTCGGGTCATTATTTAGGCATTTCTAGGATGCTTAGAGCCAGGAGAGTGAGTTACCGCCACATTTAGGCGATCTCAGAAACCTCCTTTAAATCCAGCAAACAGCCTTCTCTGCCTCCACGTGACGTCATCACATTCGAATGGCGCCACCTCAACAAGTGGGCCCGAGCCAGACGCCGGGCATCCTTGGGGCGCATTGATTGGACACGAGGTCCAGCCAAACGCTGACGCAGCTCTCGGTGTTCAATTGAACCCGTAAGTGATGACGTCACAACATGGCGCTGAGCTTCAAACAAACCGTTGCTAGGGCCGTTGTTATGGACAAATGCGTGGGGGGTGGGGCCTGACGTGGGTCACGATTTGTCGTCTGATAAAAAGGTTAATATGTTTTGTAAGCATTGTGTCTGGTAAATATGTGATCATTGTTTGTATCGAGGTGCGGAGCACGGTGTGAATAAAGACGACGACGACGGCGCTTGAGCAGTCCGAGCCGAGGGTGATAGCGAGCCATACATCACTTCGCGTTCGGTCTCTTAATTATGATATTTCTTAGAAATATCACATTGGCGACGAGCAAAACGTAACAAACTACGCCGGCAAAGACACAAAGAAGGACGGAGAGGCACCAGATTTCTTGGCAAGGCAAGTCTTTCTGGATTTTCTCCGATTACGATGCCTAAGCTCGAACCCTTTCTCGGAGAAAGCAAGGATGAATGGGAGGAGTATGAGGAAGTACTCGAGCAATATTTTATTGCAAATGACATAGCAGAGGAAAAGAAGCGCGCAGTATTTTTGTCAAACTGTGGCAAACGCACATATTCGCTTCTCAGAAATCTTCTGGCTCCAGAAAGGCCTAGAGATGTTGCCTATGACGACATTATCACGAAACTGAACGGGCATTACGCTCCCAAGCCTTCCGTAATTGTAGAGCGTCTGAAGTTCCACACAAGGATTCGTCAACAAGGAGAAACCGTGAGCGACTTTATTGCATCTCTGCGGAAGTTGGCGGACTCTTGCGACTTCAAGACGGTGCTGAACGACATGCTTCGAGATCGACTAGTCTGCGGCATCAATAACGACCTCATGCAGACCCGACTTTTGGAAGATGCAGAACTGACTTTTGAGAAAGCGGTCAAGGTCGTCGTAGCCATGGAAGCCGCGACGAAAGATTCCCAAGCAATCGCGTGCCGGGCTGGGACGACTTCAGCTGTCGAAACCAACCGCCTATCAGAGCAGTCATCTAGACAGTCTCGGTGTCGTCACTGCGGAAAGTCACACGGCTCAGCAGCATGTCGTTATGCTAATATGACATGCCACAACTGCAAAAAGGTTGGCCACCTCTCAGCGGTCTGCACAGCAAGATCCTATGACGAGTCAAGCAGCGTCAAGAAAGATGGGAAAGCTGCGCGAGACTATCAGAACTCGCCAGGACGACGGTCGAAAAAGGCGCCATCGGCGGTTACAGTTCACAGCCTCGACGACCCCAACGATCAGGACAGTGACGATGATCCCCTAACGTACAACATGTGGCAACTGAAAGCATCTCAGGTTCCTCCAATTATTATAACGGTCATTATTCAAGGCAAACCAGTTGACATGGAACTCGACACTGGGGCAGGCGCCTCCGTAATGGAAGAAAGACGTTTACGAGAATTGTTGCCGGATGTGAAGGTTGTCCCCTCCAATGTCGTTCTTAGAGGGTACTCAGGAGAGTTGACACCGGTTCAAGGTTGCGCCGAGATCCTGGTGAAGTACAACGATCAAGAAGTTCATTTTTCTGTTCGTCGTTGGCAGAACTTCCCCAACTCTGCTGGGACGAAACTGGATACAAGCTCTGGGTCTACCTCTTGCTGACGTCGTAA